ATTTTTGTTTTTTTATCTCATTTTTGTTTTTGATGTTACGTTGGATGATTTATTATTAAAATTCAGGGAATTATAGATATGTTAAGAAAATATGTATACTTAGTTAATAATTTAATTTATTTTATTATTTTGATTATAAGAAATTTATTTTAGAAAAAACAATTATATATCTTTTATGAAAAGAAATGCGATATATAAATCCGCGTGTTGAGAGAGATGAAGTATATATGGAGAAGAGGAGAAAAATCAAAGAGTTGCTCCATTAATCTCCAATCGTGGGGCAGTGATAAACTGAAAAACAATCTCTCAATTCTTTCTGTCTCCAAATGAAACCCTAATCAACTCGTTTTTCCGATCTCGATAGCGCGATTCTTCTACGCTCGTCTTCGCTCTTTAACTGTAAGTTCACTTTCCCAATTTCCTTCACTCCCTCTCGATCCATCATATCAGCTTCACGCATCTCTTCAATTTGTCATTTCAATTCACAATCTTTTGTTCTTCTTTCTATTTTCCCCAAAATTAATCTCGAATCTGACATATAAATCTCGGATTTTTCACTCCCTTCGGTACCCTATTTTTTTAGGTGCAAAGATCCGGTACGAGCGTTATCTTCACGATGGATGGGAACAAGGACGACGCGCTGAAATGTTTGAGAATCGGTAAAGAGGCGTTAGAAAACGGCGATCGTTCACGCGCGTTGAAGTTCGTGACGAAGGCGCGCCGCCTCGACCCCACGCTCCCCGTCGACGATCTACTGTCCACGATTGAGGCGGACACAGGGGATAAGTCTTCTGCCAAAGAGACCGCGGCGGAAGGTACCGTGCCCCCCGATCAGCCTTCTCTCCGGCGAAGGGCGGCCGCTACCTCGGCGGCCACGGCGGGGTCGTCATCCGCCTCGTCCTCTTCGGCCACGTATACCGAAGAGCAAGTTTCAATTATCAGAGAAATTAAGAGGAAGAAAAACTTTTATGAGATATTGGGAGTAGAGAAAAGTTGCACTGTTGAGGATGTGAGGAAATCTTATAGGAAACTGTCCCTTAAGGTTCATCCCGACAAGAACAAAGCCCCTGGCGCTGAGGAAGCATTCAAGGCTGTGTCAAAGGCGTTTCAGTGCCTTAGCAATGAAGAGAGTAGGAGAAAGTATGATGTTTCCGGTGAAGATGAATCGGTTTACGAGCAGCGTGCCGCGAGGCCAGCTGCTAGAGGTTATAATGGTTACTATGAGGCTGATGTTGATGCTGAGGAGATATTTAGGAACTTCTTCTTTGGAGGAATGGCTCCTGCAGCCAATTTTGGAGGATTCAGTTTTGGACCAGGTGGCTTCAACGGCTTCAATGGTCACAGGCCTGCTGAACACGCTTCTGGTGGTTTTAATGTTCGTGCTTTAATTCAGTTGTTGCCGGTGCTACTGATTTTGCTACTAAACTTTTTGCCTTCGTCGGATCCCTTGTACTCGCTGTCGAAGAGCTATCCTTATGAGCATCGTTTAACTACACCAAAGGGTGTTAACTATTATGTCAAGTCTACAAAGTTTGCTCAGGAGTATCCGCCTGAGAGCGAAGAACGAGCAACTCTTGAAGAAAGGGTGGAGAGGGATTACTTTAGCGTTCTTCGCCAGAATTGTCATTTTGAGTTGCAGCGCCGCCAATGGGGGTATATCCGGGAAACACCGCACTGCGATATGCTTCGGAAGTTTGAGTTGGCGAATTGATAAGTGGAATCATAATCCTTATTTTTATTATTGTCTTACCTTTTGATGTAGATGCAACAGCTATTACTTGTTTGTGATATTATAGAATGTACAATTTATTTTTTTCACTCTGATATCAGTGAAGCAAGTTCACAATAAGCCAGCTGCTTTGTTGGAATTGTTCTCTCAAATTTCATCAACTATCTCCCTGATGAATTTTTTGTTTACTTGCTAAAATTATTTATTACCTGAGGTATAGTATGAATGCATTGGATCAATTGTGTACTTACGTTTGTCAGTGTATTCCATGCTAAGCGGTACGCTGAGTGGTAGAGTAAATCTGTAAGTATTATTTTGCTATAATTCCTTGATTATTCGGTTGATTTTATTGCTGCTAAGTGACAACTTTTATATATTACGTTAATGCTTTAGCTCTAATACAGTAGAATGAATGGAAGAAGAGAATGGGGGCGAACAATAGATAAACATATGTCTGGAGATGGCAAAAAGAGGAAGGGAAAGATCGACAGGGATTAGCTTAACGCTTCCGTGATTTTACATCATCATCAAAAGGAATAGTGTTTAGAGGGTGCTAAACACTGGCTGAAGCGGGATTATGTGGAGTTATTGATGTCATCAATGAACATACACGTTGAAAGTCTATGCATTGAAGCGTGATTTTTGGCATAAACACCCAATTAACAAATGTCCCTTTTATTGTCTTGCCGTATGACTTGATCACTTGTCACTTTTCAATTTCTTTCTGCCTCCATGGGTAGACACCCCAAGGATTCTCACTTGTTTCAATTCCTAGTACGTTGAGTAGCTATCTAGCCTTCTTTGTTTTCTTGATACTTGATAAGTGGAAGCTCTTTGATTGAGGTAGCGGTGGAGGCATAGTTGGGTAGCTAAAAAGATTTGACAAAAGAGAGTCGAAGGTCTATGGCCATCAATAACCATCTGTGGTTGCAAGAATTTTAGTGATATGATCTATAGCTTATCTATCATCATGGATATAAAATTAAACGTTTCTTAGGGACTTGGTTTTCATTGAAACTATGCTATGTTCATCTGTGCTTATGCGATGGCCTGTGTGGGATGTACCTTGTTTGGGTCTGCATGATTGAGGAGAGCCAGAACTGCCCTTTTCAAATTCATCAGGCTCAGAAGATAATAGCCATTTTTTTCATTTTTTCTTTCCTTCTATGTCAATTTTTATGGCGGTTTGGCTGGCATTGCGACATTTGACTTCACATTTGGTGAAGAATATCATGTGTTTGTAATGTGTCCTGAGTTGTGACATAAGTATTTAAACCCGAATCATAAACCGTGGGGTCACTAGGGCTATCTTCTTATTCTCTCTCGACATTTTTCTAAGGATCAAAGTCTCATTATCACAACCGTAGGTATATCAATCGAGACCAACCAGGCTACAGGTAGCTCAGCACAGATTAAAATATACCCAATTTCTTAGTTTATTGGAAATTATTTCAATGAAAGTTTTAATTCCTGTCTTCTTATTTATAATTAAAGCTAATATTTAGAGAATTGGCCAAATGGCTTGTCAAGAGCCTATGCCTTAATTCATATTGACGTAGATTTGGTTTGATAAAAGATAAAATATTATTTTTAAAATGTATAAACTTACCGGCTTATCGTTTGTTTTAAAAGCTAAAAATTAAAGAATTATAACTTAGAATTAAGTTATATGTAAGTTAAAAATTAAAAAATTAAAGAAAATATAGCGTTTTATGCTAATTAATTTATGTATAACTTAAATAAATAAGTTAATATTTTTTTCTAGTAAATTTTTTTTATGAAGTTTGTTTTAATATTTTAATGCAAAATCCTTAATGATATATAAATAGAAAAATGTTATGAAGTGAGAAGTCATGACTGAGGCTTGATAAATCATACTTTAGGATGTTTCTTTATTAGGATGTTTCTTAAGGAATAGAAATTTTATATGAAATTGTATTTAATGTATTTTTACATTCATGCGTAAACATATGAAAACTTTAAGATAATGTTTTGATGTAAAGCTTCTCAACTAGCCAAAAAGCAGATTTGAAATGGTTCTTTTCTTAATTTCATATATAAAGAAATCTTCTAAGTTGAAGAAAGATAATAAAGTGATCAATAGTTGTTAAAATACTGTAAAATTTGTTGTTCAAAGCTTTATGTGTCCCAAGCTTTACAAAGATATTTTTCATGTTTGTTTAGTAAACTAGCCAAGTATTAAAACTCTATTAATGGGAAATCATGTTTCTCTACCTAGTGACACTTACAATTCTACTAGTCTCTCTCTTGCCGTCTGATGAGAAATTGGAGAGTTTTCTAAGTATAGGGAAGGATTGCATTACTCTTGAAGCAGTTCTGTCTAACCTTTATATAATTAAGCTTCACCTGAATGCGCATGAGAGTGTAGAAGATGAATCATCTTCTAGGTTGATAGTCTTCAAGAAAGACAAAAAGGTAAAGAAGTTGAGGAAGATGAATGTTGATTTTACAAGTCTTCTTGGACTTCTATAGATAGAAATGAAGTCACCTGGAAACCACTAATGTTAATGCTCTACTTGTGATATACATTAAAAATTGCATGTAAAGATATTCAGAAGTTACCAATGCTAAGTTTAAAGGTCACATTTTGGTTAACTTAAAGAGAAAATTATATTTGTGAAGTTATTCTCAAATGCAGGGAATCCTAAAAGTTTATGTTGTGCAGTTCAGAGTTTCCTTGTATACATTTCACACAACTTTTGATGTATTATTAATAGTGTCATTATGTACTCAAATATGAATGGTCTTGCATACGCTTTTGTAAGCCAAAAGATGACAATAAATCATAGTTGTAACATTAATTTATTAATGGAACCTTTTGCCATTAGTAAAAAAAAAAAATTAGATGCAATTCAAGTTGGAATAAACAAACATAAATCATAGTGTAATATCCGTTTTATCCATACATATTTTCCCATTCCTTACTCTACCAAGTTCCCAAAATAAAACTTATTTTTTGAAGTATTTTAATTATTTTTGAGAAAGCATTTTGAAATACAATATATCTAGTCTATGAACTCTAAATGTGAACTTGAGTAAAAATTTTGGGATGTTAAACAAAGTAGTATTTACTATTATACTTTATTATTGATATAGAACTGTCTTGATCGTATCAAACATTTGTGAGAAGATTGCTATTAAAGTTCAAAGTGTTAAACATGAAGAAATAATACTATTAATTTTTAGCAGAGTTTATTGCACTATGTGATAATATGTGTAGCTTTGTAGCGGAAACCAAAACAAGGAAGAGTATGTAACTTTGAGGTATGTATATATTTGAAAAAGAAAAAAGATTATGATATTCTTATATAATTTATTTATACTCTGTTACACTCTTCGTCCTTAAAATCCATTTAAGCCATGTATCAAGAATTGCATCCTTATTCCTTCGTTGTTAAAACTAGCAGTCCCAGTGCCCCTAGCAGTATATACTGCAAGAAAGAATGCATTAATATTAAGCTGCTAATATTGACACACTATTGAACTGTAGTTCCAAAGAACAAACCTTGAGAACAGGAATATCAGACATTATTATTGTAGCCCAACCAACATAAGGCAAGAACCTGCAGAAAAGACACAAGTAATGAAGTGTGTAAACATAATTGACGAAATCATGTTTTGTTTATAATTTGAAAAATGATTTTGCAAATTTCTTCAAAGAAATGAAGAATAAAGACTCTTGATTTGAAAACAAATATTTTTAAACTCTTTCAATTTAATCCAAAAATGTACTTAGTCGGCTCAAAAGCAAATTCTCTTTGACGAGTTCAAAAAGGTGAAGCTTAGTCCTAAGGTAAAAGGATTTACCCTACAGCTCTTCCTATAATATGGTGTTTTTGTAACCACTTCTGGCCATAATTATACATAACCCTGTCATCGTCATCATTGTTGTCTCCTGAAATGCATATCAAAGAAATGTGAATGTTTTGAAACCAAAAAAGCTAATTCACAATAAATTTAGTACTAAAAGTAATAGCTTTATTGAACCGTGACCAAAATATATAATATGGATCATCTGCTGACAATTGGAAAATGACATGGACATATTATGTAGGCATCCATATCTATTGTATTGTACCTTTTGTTAGGATATAAGTTTCTTCAGAATTTTTACGTTCATGAACCTAAGAAAAATCAACAAATTGAGTGATATGTATCATAGTCATCAAATAGTATTCAAATTCTAAAAATAGAAGAAGCCAATAAATCCATTTTGTAAAATGAAAAAAATTCAGCAGTACAAACCAGCTAGCCTTTGATTCTAGAATTAGCATGGTTACCATGTTACGTAGTTCAAAGGACCTATTATCTATAACCTTTCACTATCACTATTCCTTTTTTCATATGCATTCCCCTGTGTTTCTGTTTATCTGTATTCTGCATAATGTCTATTTTCTTATTAAAAGATACACCGTTTATGATAGGCTTACGTTGGGTGAACTAAATAGAAATTAAAAGGTTGAGCAGAACAAAACTAAAGTTATACAAACCTCAATTACACGGTGAACAATTGGAATGTCTTTTCCCTGCACAATGTGTAGCCATTAGTCGTCAAAATGTATTGTTGAAGCGACATTAAATATAAATAAATCATTCAAGACTAGCATTATATTGCAAGAACATAACTGATGGCCAAAACTTGTCTTTCCTCTGTGTTTCTGTTTTTTTGACACAGATTTATTAATAACATTTTGATACTATAATAGTTATTTTTTCATTAGTTCATTATTTATTTAGTACTGACGTACTCTAAATTTAATAAAAAAATACTGTTAAAATATTATTAAAAAATGTTAATAAATTATTGTTTTATATAACAAATACATATCTAAGTGTCACTAGAAAAAATTAAGAACATTTTTTACCCTTTAGAGAACAAGGTGACAAGGATCCTATCCAATATTGCAATGCATGAAAGTCACTAGACTTGTTATGAGGCTAAGGGATTTGTTTGATGTTGAAAAAATTAAAAGGATGAGTGAAGATGAAACAAATTTAAGTATGAAAAAAAAATATAATTTTAAAATAGACGGGAGTCATTGTGATATTTCTAACTCGTTTATACTTATCTGTATATCTTTCTTCCCATGTCTTCTTTATTTCTCTTCAACCAAATCCTTCTAATTTTTATTTATTTCTCAAATATTTATGCTCTATCAGAGTATAAGAAATCTATATGTGCAGCGGTTAATATTAAGGAAAAGATAGACATGCAGATAGCATATTTCAAAAGAAACATAAATGTCTTATTTCGAGAATAGGTTGACGAGTATAATATTGATAGTTTGATCTACTCTCCATTAACGGGAACAGCATGAGATTTTGTTGAATAATTAAGTATTGAGAAGAAAAGAGAGTTAAGGTTATTTCTCTATCTCTCAAAAGGGTTAAATACGCTCTACGCAAGAAAATAGCACAGTTTTTGTTTGAACTTCTGTGTAAATCTTGTAAATTGTAGTTTCTAACTAGAAAAATAATGTGATCTAATCTATTGTGACACATTTTCAGTATCTAGAGAATGATTAAAATCTTAACATAAGATAAAGAATTAAACACTTTTTTATAAAAACTGAAATAATAAATAATATTCTTTTAACAAGACTAAAAGTATATTTGAGTTCAAATAACTGGATTTTCAGTAGCAGCTTCAACCTGACATTGGCTACTTGTGCAGTTATAATGGGAGTACTTTTCGGTTTTACCATTTTTCTATATCTTTTTTGATATTAAAGAAAGTTAAAACATATGAATAATTAAAAAAAAAACAGTAATATTTTCATGGGGTAAAAAACATGTTCTTGTCAAGACAAGTATAGTAGTAAGAAAAGACTGATGGTCAATGCCAAGAAACAGAAACTGATAGAATAATATAGGAAAGCATTTCAAAATCCACATCCAGTACAAAACAAAATAATAATAATAATAATAATAATAATAATAATAATAATATAATGGTACATACATCTAGACTGTAAACCACAATGTCTCCTGCACGAATGGGATCCTTGCTCATGTGCAAAAACAGAATGTCACCCTGTAAGAAAACCATTTAACCAAGCATCGCATAAGCTTGGGACAAAAGAAAAGGCAAATGACCATTTACATTATTATTGGCATATCTTGAAATAAACCAAAAATAAGATCTTTCATCACTAACTCAAACTACACTTACATTCCTGTTTTCCCCTCGATATACTCGTTGTTCAACAGAATTTTTATTACCATCTGTTTACGTATCTAAATAAAATAATTTGTTTTTCATCATATACCAAAATTCTTGTAGTTATATTTTCGTTAGACTTGGTCTTTTAAATGGTAATGATTTTAACATTGGAGTAAATATAATACTTTTATAATTTAAAAGGATAGTATGCAAAGTAAAAACAATGTGTGTGTGAGTGTAAGGTTCTTGAAAGAAAAAGAAGATTTAGGCATAATCTAAAAATAGAGCGAGACACACTTACTCGTCGGAAACCAGGTTCCATGCTTCCGGAAATAACAACGACGACGGGCGATTCGCTGCCGGTAACACAGCTTAACCCTTTCCATATGACGAGCGCCGATGATACAATCAAACCTGAAAGCGATTGCAAGAGCGATAGAAATTAACGAGAATTAAGTGATTAATTTGCGTAGTAGTTGTTGAATGGGTGATTATGAAAGAAATGGGGGAAAAGGAGCATGGTACCGAGAGTGATGATCTGGTTGAATACTTCTCTGAATCGAATCGAATTGAAAGAGTGAAGAGTGTCTGCGACCCAACCCATTCTGTTATACGCTTCGCTCTTGCATGTCGAAACTTAAATCCACCATGTTTAAGCATTGACTTCGCTTTCATAGCTCTGAACGCACCACAATTCTAATTCAAAACACATATACGTGGTCTCTCCAATGTCTATGCGACACGTGTTGCTTCTGTACTGTTTGAAAAAAAGGTCTCAATGCTATTAAATTAACGCTTTTTTTTTGTAGAATACGAAAGAAACAAAAACAATAAGAAAGTGTGTAAATGAAAAAAATAAAATTCATAACAAATATCTACGCTTCTATACTTAATATACATTTTGAAAAAATAAAAATAATAAATTTATAAATTATATGATGTGATAAGAAAATGTAAATGAAAAAATACTTAAAATATAATAAATGTAAAAAAGTAAAAATTTATATATATTATTAAAAAATGATTAAATATGATTTTAGTGACAAAGTTAAAATTTGTATATCAAATTTGAATATATTTTGGTTTCTACTTTAAAAATTAAATAAATATATATTTTTAATTAAAAGTGTTTTAAATTGATATTTAAATTATAAAGTGAAATAATATAAACAATTTAAATATCAATTTGTCTGTGTAAGATCCTCTTGTAAGAAAATAAGAGATGAACATTATTTACATAAGTAGAATAAACATTTATAAGTATTCAATGTAATGTGAAATATTTCAAATTATGTGTGTCTTTGTCCAAACAAAAGCTTATAAAGCAAACAAGCATAAGTAAGATATTTTGAGTTTGTTTAACAGATGAAACATTTACGTTTGTGGAGATCTTATGCTTATAAAATTTTGTTTTATTCTTTGTACAAAAAGTCCTTAATCAAAATCAAATAAGGTTTATTGAACTTTGTTTTAACAAACTAAAACTTAATATTATTTGTTAAAACACAAATCTTATGACTTGTTAGCAATTATATAGATATAGAGATGTGTTTAATTATTTATGACATAGCATAGGCTGTCAATTCTTGTTCAAAGACTTTTAATATTAATGTTTAACTCCTTTCTATCCACTATCTTTCCCAAGGTTGTGATATGATTTAGTATATGAGTGAATCTTTTACGAACATCACATATTATCTCTTCTTGTAACATCTTCAATTTCACACTCTTGTATGAAAGTACTCTTCCTAATACTCTCGACCTCTTTCATGTCTTCATGAATAACTTCAAGTACTATTCACATTTTCTTGACACTCAAACATTAATATTCAATAGAATTCATAAATCATGAGGTAAATGAAATTATGTCATTTGCTCTTACATTATATCTAGCTTCATTGTTCTCATCACTTATTTAAAAATTAAAAAATCTTTACGAATCCACATATTTTCAACAATTTTAAAAGAAGTGAATAATCAGTTTACAATAACATTCCAAGCTTTTTGATTAAAGAAATATTTTCATGGAATTTTTTCAAAAGGAATACTTTTCTTCTATAAATAAAGGAGACTTATTATAATAACGACACTCTCAACAAAGATTTGATTTATTCCACTATAGTATGATATATTTTTTTGAAAAACTATCAAAACAACTAAGATGAGGTGGGGAGGGGATGAGGGAGGTGAATTGATGATTTAAAATTTCTTTGTTTATTAACAAACTTTGAAAAACTTCTTAAAATAATCAAATTAGAAAATGAGTTTTTTAGAAAAAAAAATATTTAAGAAATAGTAAAAGATAAGGAAAATAAAGATTATACAAATAATTTTAAATTAGTTTGAATCAATCTCATTCTTCATCCAACATCAATCTACCAACCTTAAAATGATTGTTTTCATCATGTAGTCACACAATATATAAACTAAAATCTTTTGAATAACCAATGAAAAATACCATCTATGCAAAAACCTACTCCACAACTTACATTTCACATGATGTAGTTAAAAATATATAAAACATACCTCACATAATGTAGCTAAAAATGTATAAAACTTTGGAAGAATTTCACCGTTGTGATGAATAGTCAAACATTAAGTTTAGAGATAAAAGAAACTATTTTCACCGCAATTTTAATTTTCTCAAAATATGTATAATAGTCATGGAGTTTTTCATGTATTGGATAGTTTCTTCAGACAGTATACCTTAAGACATGGAATTCAAAGATTATGTTTCAACACAGGAGGACAACACTCAAATCAATTTATTGAAATGAGTTCATAAAAAAATCAATTATGTTAAAAAATAATTAATAATTAATAATATTGTTATATATTGTCTTAGAAACAAAACTGAAT